CTTATAATGACAATCTGCGGAAAGTCTTTGAAGCTGGAACTCCGACTAAATATGAGAAACTATTGATGTAATTGATTTTTTAGCACTCTGAGGGCACAAATATTTATCGTATAAATGTCTAACAATAAACAGGCCTTGAATGGAGGCCTAAAAACTTATAAAGGTTCAATACATAACTGAAAGAAAGGTAAACTGGCCATATTCAGCAAAAATCAACCAATTTATTTATGCCTTTAAGAGGCAAAAACAGCATGGATAAGTAAAGGCAGCTACTTTTATTTATAAAGATAGATTATAAAAGACTCATTTGTGTAGTAATGACTATTCAAGCTCTTAACTCCTGTCCTTCATTGTTAGACGTGCTGAATTAAAGCTTGGGAAACAAGCTTTGGCACACCTTTGAAAGCCCTTGGGAACCTGCTTCTTGTATGCTTATTCAGATTATAAGATTAAGGTGGGGTCAATGGCCAAAAGTGGTGTGTATTTCTGTTGTCGTTGTCAAAATGAAAATCTCTTATGGTGTCTTCTACCTTTCTGGATATTGTTTGGGCCGTGATTCTGCTTCTATTCTAATATAGAATGCCAGTTTCTTTGAAATTGGGGCATGCCAACTTGGTGTTTTCTCAATTTAAATTCTAAGTTAGACTTTTGGTTTTTTCAATCTAAACCTTGTTTATTCTTACTTTTCTCTTACCTGTGTGTTCCATGTCCATACATTTGTCTCATTTATCTCTTCCATTAGAACATTGTCAAAATTACAACTATTTTATTTTATTTTTAAAGATTTTTTGCATCTATATTTAATAAAAAAAGTATTGTATTTAATTTTCACCCACAGTGGTTGTGCAGAGGGCTAATTTGTTTATATTGACATTTCATTTTTGTAGTTCAAGAGATACAATTGTGCTCACCTTGAGATTATTCATCATTCGGGTATTTACTCTTCACTTCTATACATTTTTTTTTTCCGTGAAAGACTAGAAGCTTTTGTCTTTTTTTTGCTCACATGCACACACCCACATAGAAATCAAACACTAATTAAGAGCTTCAAATTATGTGTGCATACTGGATCTGTAAATTTACTTTCAGACCTTCAAGTGTGAACATCTCAAGTTTTTATGTAGTGGCTTCTAGTTTAATGTTTAAATTTTAGATAAAAGCTTCTGATGTCTTTTTCATATTTAAAGACAGAATAATATTGATAGTTACTTGGGGATCCAAGGATGGTTTTTCGAGTTTGTTCGAAATTTCTGAGTAGAATTTCTTACGTTCTGCTTTAGTTGCATACATCTGTTCTTGACAGTGCCTTGTCATTACTAGCCTAAATTTCTTGGTTATTGCGTTGGTCATACCCCGTGTCATTCTGGAGTGGTTGTCTGTCATTCTGCTCTTAAATTGATGATTTAAAGCATCTTAAGTCCACACGTGCAAATTGCATTGTTTTGGACCTGTATGTATTATTGTTTTTGCAGGCCAAGGATGATACTTTCCCCCTTTTTTTGGCTCAAATCTGACTAGTAAAATCTTATTTATCATTGATTTTAACTCCCAAAGTAGTCATATGAGGCTTTGACCAAATGGTTAAAATCTTATTTATCATCTTAACACCCAAAGTAGTTGTAAGAGACTTCAAACCCTTGCACAATCTCTCTAATTACTTTAACTTTAAACTTTTCCACTTCCATGTTATTTGCGGGTTTGTTGTTGTTTAACTTTTTTAAATGATGGCGATCTATTTTGCAATCTCAGCGTGTGTTTGTATTGTGTCTAAATCAAGTTTCATATGCAAATATCTTTTGGTCCCCTGCATGAATTTTAATCTGAGATTTGACATCCATAATCAGATTTGAGTTTTAACCCTGCTAAGAAGTGATTTTGACCTATCTGTTACACAAATTATACAGGAACGAGTGGTTTTTCTTTTTGTTTTCATTCAGGACATAGGGTCATAAGTTTGGTTGTGGTTAAAGATAGGGACTTATTACTTGTGGACTTACTTTTATATTTGTTAGCTTTCAATTAAATAATAATAATAATAATAATAAAAACTGAGTAGCTCATTTTTGAGCATTTATGTGCAATACTGTAGGAGCGAAGTTAGTGTTTTGATCTATCTTATTGGTTAAAGTTTTGTAGTTCTTGCATTATTCTAAACCCTTATGTTTACAAGAGATTTCTCGTACTAGCTATTGCAGGCTGGTGAGAGGAGGAAAGGGAAGAAGATAGGTCTATTCTTTAACAAGTAAGGTGCATGGTTTGCTTACGGTGCGGCTCAGTAAGAAACCTTGCTATTGAGATTGTTTAGTACATATTTGAGGACCGGGTATCTTGCTTAACTTGTTGAGTAGCTAGCTTTTGTGTTCTAATAATTTTTACAGGCAGCAAGTGGCGAGTTGTAATTACAAATTGTATCAATATTTTTGTCCTCGATGCTGTAATATCTTGCTCTTATTTGGCTTTGGTATTATAAAGAGAATCACTATATTACTAGATGTCGACAGGGATTGAGTTGGTATATCAGTTCTGACCCTTTTGAGGTCATCATATAACGGGGTGGTTGCTCAATTTTGTGATTTAAACCATGTCTGATCTTTTCTTTTCTTTTCTTTTCTTTTCTTTTCTTCCCCTAGCCTGTTGGGTCTCATAGGATAGGTGTCTCTCATTGGACGTAAGCCAGGCCGGCTTGAGACGATATGCAATGCACCTCCTTCAATCATTAAATTAAATGAAATCCAAATATTCCTATTTCATTTCGTACTCTTTTTATGTCCATCTTCTGGTTGTTTATATATATGTATATATATATATATATAGTTATTTTTTCTTGTTTTCTTGGAAATGGTGCCAAAAAAATGGAAAAAATGTTTAATTTGGCATCTAATTCACAATACGGTATCTAAAATATAAAGCATTTGTTAATTGCACATTGAAGTAGCTAGCTCCAATAGATTAAAATTTGGACAAAATACTTCAACAATTTTTGAATTTATGCATTTTTTTCACTTTAGTCTTTCAATTTAAAATTGTAATAATTTAATTTTTTAATTTAAAAATTATTTTATTTTAGTTTTTTTAACATTGTCTTTTTGAAATTATCTTTCACTGAGTTGGTGTCATTGTTGACATGAGTTGCCATGACATCACTTGTGATAATGTAAGCGCAACAAATTTTTTACTAATGACTCTAAACTCTTACTTTTGTTTATATATGGCTTTTGTTTTTTTTTTCTTTCTCTGTCCTCTCACTTTCTCCTTTAAGGATCAATTGCTAGTCATCGGACATTATCACTAGTCATCAATCACCGAATGTTAGTCCACGGTCACTGGACATGCCATGTCATGATCGTGATCGATGACCGTCAATAGGCCATTGGTAACGACATCTGATGACTAGCGGTCGGTCTTTAAGGGAGAAGGTGAGAGGAGAGAGTGATAAAAAGGAAAATAAAAAAGAAAGAAGGAAAAAAGAAAAGAAGAAACAAAAGAAACAAAAACAATATATAATCAAAAGTAAGGGCTTAGGGCATTTGAGCATTTGGTTTATTAGTTTGTACATGATCTCCCTACTTAAAGAGTAGGGTTCGAATCCCCTTTCCCTCAATTATATAAATATCTTTTTTATCAATTATATACATATAAAAAAAGAGCATAAAACAAGTGGTATTGGGTTCGAAACACAACAAGCACACAATATTTCTAGAAAAAACAAGAGACACGAATCGCTCTCTTGTGTGACGCGTGGTGCCCTCTTTGACATGCCATGTGACATTGCCATATCAACATGTCAAAGTGATAGTGTTATGTTAGCGCCACGTTAGCAATAACATCAGTTCTATGAAAGAGACTAAATTGAATCAATTTCCAAAATTAAAGTTTAGAACAATTGGTACTGGATTTGAAACGCAACAAGCACACAATATTTCTAAAAAAACAAGAGACACAAATCGCTCTCTTGTGTGACACGTGGTGCCCTCCTTGATATGCCATGTGGCATTGCCACATCAACATGTCAAAGTGATAGTGCTATGTTAGCGCTACGTCAGCAATGACATCAACTCTATGAAAGGGACTAAATTGAATCGATTCCCAAAATTAATGGTTTAAGTAGGACTAAAATGAAAAAAAAATGCATGCGTACACCTAAGCCCTGACTCGAAAATTCATTGGAAGACGCTAAGCCTAGGTCAAAGTGATAGTGCCATGTTAGTGCCATGGTAACAATGACATCAAAGTGATAGTGCCATATTAGCGCCACGTCAGTAACAACATCAGCTCTATAAAAAGGACTAAACTGAATCAATTCTCAAAATTAAGGATTTAAGTAGAAGGACTAAAGTGAAAAAAAAAAGCATGAGTACACCTAATCCTTGACTCGGAAATTCAATGGAAGACGTTAAGCCTAGGTCAAAGTGATAGTGCCATATTAACACCATATTAGCAATGACATCAACTTTGTAAAGTGTAATTTTGAAAGGAGTTCGTTAACATCGATCAGTCGGTTCAAGGTAAATTCTGCCTTGGCCCAATCAGATTGGTTTAATGTACCTCAAAGTGATATGCCTCGTGCCCCCCAAATAGGCGATGGTGATGGATTGACCCTCCTTTCCCTTTCTTTCTCTCTTTATGGTAGATTTCTTTCTTCTTGTTTTTTTTTTTAAATCTTTTAATTTTTTTCATGTTTTTTTTAGAATTTTAATTCAAAGATAAAAAAAATTAAGAATGAATAAAAAGGATAATTGATGTGAAATTTTTAGAAACATGGTATATTTTTATTGATTATCTTTTTACAAAGTCATTTATTTGACTAATAATGTCTGTAAAATGTACAAATTGATGGTTAAAGCAAAATCGAATTACTTAATTTTGAATTTTGTTAAGTATTAAATTGACAATTTCACATTGACTCATAACATAATAAAAGTTTTGATCATAATATAAAAAAGTGTTTGTTATTAAAAAATTTTGACAATGGATCACTATCACGAGATAATTAGATTTAATTAAAATAAGTGAGATTATTAGATTTAATTAAAATAAGTGAATTGTTAGATAAATATTCATTGAGATTGTTTATAGTTAGCGACCTGATAGTTGACTGACAGAGGCCGTGGCATTGGATGCGGATGAGGCAGTTGATGTGGATGTGTCTTCTCGTAACCTTTTATGATCTGATTCAATGAAGGTCGGCTTGGTAAGTGGTCTGCGTTCGACTGATCCTTTACTTTTCAGCAACACAACAACTTCGGACATGGTTGGCCTCATGGCTGCAGTTGCTTGAGTGCACATCAAGGCTATTTCTATGACTCTTTTCACATCTTCTGCTTCGTCTTCATTTGGATCTATGCTTTCATCCGCTAATTCTAGGTGCATCTTATTCTCGTACAATCTCCATGCCTGGTCAACCATACACCACTAACCAATAATTAATTTACTCTTTTATTATACAAATTAATAGTTGTTTATGAGAAAATTATCTTATGCATTGACAATTGAATTTTTAAATTTTTCAAATGAATTTATACATTAATAAATTATGTAAATGTCTTAAGTTTTATCTATAATTTCATGCGAGTCTATTAATATTCGAAATATACATTTGTCTTAAAAACATATCTTTCGTAGATACTTAAATCTTTCTGTTTAGTCAACCGTTAATGTATCTATTACTTTAATGATGTGGCAGCATTTTTTAGGACAATTTTACTCTTTTTTTTCATCCCTAAATCAATCAGAAGCTAAAACTCTCTTAAAATCCAAATTTCATTGCTGAAATGCTCTAAATTTATTGCTGAATTTTTATATTTCAATGCAAAACCAACTTGTGAAGAGAAACCATAAACCCATGTTTGCTTATTGGTGGGTGATTCAAAGTGAGGCTGAAATGTTGGAAGAGAAAATGAAGGTTGAGTTGATTTTTCTTATTTATTTATAGGTTTAGAAACCATAAACCCATGTTTGATCTATGTTTTATAGTTTTAAAACTTGTTGTAAGAACTCGACATTTTTTAATGTGTGAGATTTGAAGGTGTTTGATAAATTTTTTTAAAAAGCCATTAACACATTATTGTGTTTTTTTTTTTTTTATGTTATGGACATTTTAGATATTTCATATTTATCGTTATCGTCGTTTATACGTTAGAGATGAATTATTTATTTTGAATACTAATCCGACTTGCATGAAATTATAAACAAAACATAATAGGTAGAATAAAAATATTGCAATCTTGGATAAACTTGGTTGTAGAATGATCTATAGTTTATGTAAAATGATAGGGATATATCAACAAGAAGCAAATGAGAATTATGCAAATGAAGAGTAAAGGGTTGCCTTACTAATTACCCTTTTGAGGAGAAACTCAGCATCAGGATCGGCACTGGTCTCATGACTCCTTTGACCACTTATAATTTCAAGGACAACAATTCCATAGCTATAGATATCAGCCTTTTCTGATAGTTGTCCATGGATAGCATACTCTGGTGATGTGTATCCCCTATTTCAAAACCATTATTCTCGTTAGCCAGGAGGAGCAAACAACGCTAATAAATATGTTAGCTAGAAAGAAAGGAACTTATAAAGGAAAAGCATGCTTGTTAGAATCAAATCTCACAGTGTTCCAGCAAATTTGGTGCTCAAATGACTCTTATCCTCGGGTAAAAGTCTTGCTAACCCAAAATCAGCTATTTTGGGTTGGAAATCATCATCCAGAAGGATATTGCTAGACTTTATATCACGATGGATGATGCATACATGGAATTCTTCGTGCAGATACGTAAGGCCTCTAGCAGTGCCTAGAATAATACCATATCTCTGTTTCCAATTCAGAGAGCCTCGTCTCTCACCTGTTTCCATGGAGGGAATTAACAAGAATGACAAATTGAAGCAGCGGAGTGAGTAATGAGAGGGATCAACAAAAGTTACCGAATAAGAATTTGTCAAGACTGCTATTTGCCATATATTCGTAGACAAGGAGAAGTTCAAGTCCTTTGCTGCAACATCCAAGAAGACGGATAAGATTCCTATGATGAACATTACTTATCAGCTTCACCTCACTTTCAAAATCTAACTTTGCTCTTCGGGTTTGGAGTACAGCTAGTTTCTTGACTGCAACTATTTTCCCATTCTTTAAAACACCCTGCTCACCGTCAAACAAATAATCAATCAGCCATCAAATCTAACAAACACCATAATTTCTTGATATCTGTTCATTTACTTGTTCTCTTATATGTTACCTTGTATACATCACCAAAACCTCCTTCTCCTAATTTATGTTCCTCACTAAAGTTTTTAGTAGCAGACATCAAATCTTTGTATTTGTAATTTAATGGGCCTTGCAACTCTGTTGCCCCCAATATGTCACCTGTTACAAATTAGACCAAAGCAATTAGTATTTATATATATTGAAATTTTAAGAGAGACCAACTAAGACTCTTAACATTTGCTATAAATCAAAATTATTTTATCTCATATTATTCTGATTAATTTAGAATCTCAGCTTATAAATTTGAAAGCGTTAATCCTTCAAACAATTAATTGTTTGGTAATGAATAGAAGCAAATCAAACAATCTGAAGGAAGAATATCAAAATATCATTGCAATCTGTGTAATGTTGGCTGTATCCAAAATCAGAAAGACTTGAGAATTTTTTTGATGAAGCAAGAAACAAAGAGTAGTAATTAATATAATATACAGAGTCGTAAATTTCCAATCAATACGTGCAATTTTGGTTTTGCTTTTAGAGTAAATTCAGTGCATAGCATAATCACCTTAAAGAAGCAATGCTTGAACCAATGTTTTAATATTACCTCTAAGTGTCCCTCTTTGCCTTGTTGATAGTTTAAACCAAACAAGCAATGCTATAATAATAAGCAAAAGAAGTGATGCACCTCCAACCACTCCTCCTATTATAATTGCCTTTTTCTTGCTTGAACTACCTGAAAAACATATCACATATTGTCCCTTTGATTTGCTTTTGTAAGTAAAAATAAAAAGTAAGTAATGAAATTATCAATTAAAGCATATAATAGACGAACACACGGACTCACCGGTTCGCAGGAAAGGCCTAATGTCAATGGTTTGATTATCGGCAAAGAAAGGTGAGTTTGAGTACCTTAAGAAACAACCAACATCGACAGCCCTACCATTTGTATTAGGAGGGCATCGCTGAATGTCACTAGTGACCACCTGCATGCACTCTCGGCACCCACTTTCAGTAATGGTTTCAATGCACTGCGCGACGCCATACACGGTCGCACTAATGCCAGTACTACCGCCGACCACTTCCTTCTTAGTTGCGGCGAAGTAACCGTCAATCCTTGGCGTGGCAGTTTGAAGATCGGCTAGTAGCCCCTGCACCGCTGCTTCAAAAGCACTAGGCTCTGATGCAGACTGATTCCCGCACATCATGGAGTGCCCTTCCTGTGTGGTTTGGTTGTAGAAGTCGTTGCTCTCGTACCTCATCAGATTAGTGACAACGTGTTCAGTTTTGTACGTCTCGAACAACTACGTACTATTTTCTTTTCTAAAATTTAATTTTTTATCTTTTTATTTTTTTGTAAACAAAGGTATAATATGTAGTTTTTGTGAAACAAATTATGAAAGAGAAGGAGAATAAGTTCTAAGAAAAAATGGAAAAATTCATTTTAAGTTCCAAATGTAACGAAAAATAGAATATACCATGAAGTGGAATGGATGATCAAAATTAAATTATTGATAATTAGCGCAACTCACAGTTTTTATCTCAAGAAACACTAAACAGAACAACAATTTTACAGTCAAAGTGTTCTTGGACAATAATTGGCACATCCCAAAACATGAGTTGCCAGGAATTACCTGAGGAAACAGTCATCATAGATGACACGGGCACCATTGGCAGAGCAATTACTGATTCGGGATAGAGCAGCTTCAAAGCAAGCCAAGCAGTCAGCTGGGGAAAGGTACTTCCTGCACTGCACCATGGCATAGGCTGGGTTTGAACCCCTTGCCTGTTGAGCTGTTGCAAAATATTTGTTGTCGCTGTTCATCAGCTGCTCTCTCAGTTGCACAAAGGTTGAGTTCAGATTGCTGCTGAATTCTCCGAAGTTGGTGACGTTGTATTGGCTGCATCCTGAATTCAGCAGATTGAATTGTCCTTCTGAAGCAGAAGCACTTTCTTCCAAGAACAACCACCATATTATTGTTAGCAAACAAGTTATGCAGGCTGTTTTGGGTTGCATCTTCTTTATGATTTTTCTTCACTTTTGTAATTTCACAGTGAACAAGAATGTTCCCTACAGCTTGAGCTAGCCAACAGGGAACAAAGTTATCTCCATTTGATGACGCTTAAACCGGATAAGTATGGAAAGCTAAAATATCAGTTGAAAATTATTGGATCGTTTCTAGAATGAAAATTATAGAAATTTTTATGAAATGACAACTGATCTAACACAAGGCCAGCGGTGTTGGATGTGTTACGTGTACTATGTCTTTTAGACAAACAACAGGAGTTAAGATTACATCCAACCAAGTTTGGCTTTATTGGCTTGGATGGCAGAGTAGTCAAGGGTTAGTGCGAATTCCACGCTCAATTCCATTAATGTAATTGATTACATTTCTCCAGTAGTCTTAACTATCAACCAATCAAGAAAGGGGATGACTTAAAACTACAAGTCAGCCCTGGCAGCCATCATCAAGGCCTGAGCTGGGCGAGTACTGATGGTAACAAATCTATATCAATCTCTGTTGACCCACAAGTTTAATGACTCTATGCGAAAAGACCCGTGCGTGACGACGCATGGGTGGTGTACCTGTCTATTATGTTGAAGGAAGCGTTTGATGGTGTCTGTACAATTATCTGATGAAGGGTAACAACAGTACTGTTTATCATTTTTTTACAATCATTTTCACCTCAGATATAAAATACATTTTTGAAGATGATCTGTCTATACAATGCCAGCTTTGTAAGTACATACAAAATGAAGATGCTCTGTCAGTATATTGTCAGCATTTTAAATATACACAAAATTCATGCTCTAATTAGTTTTCTATATAGAGCATAGAGCATGGTGCCTTGATGTAAAAAGTATTAGGCGTTGTAACATATGTTCCTGGTAATGAAAATTCATTGGCTGGACACTACGTAAAAGGCGGACAAAAAGGTTGGTTTTAAGTTTTGGTTGCATCATTGACTTAGTTTGGAGTATGCCTGACATTTTTAAAGTCATAATAAGTAATCTCAATACAGAAATGACACATAATTTTAAGATATATATTTTTTATATTTGATTTTATATTTTTTGATAAGCGATTCTACTTCCCGAGTTGTAACTTTTTTAAATAAATTGAATATATATATATATATAATGAAAATTTTGATCATAATTTTAAAAGTTTCACAGCTGATTACCCTCATGAGAGTGTTATATTTAGTTGAAGTCAGTAAATTTTTTAGATAAATTGAATATATATATATATATATATATATATATATATATATAGTTGTGATTATTTATAGTTAGCGACCTGAGACTTGAGTGATTGAGGCTGTGGCCTTAGATGCGGAGGAGGCAGTTGACGTGGATGTTTCTTCTCGTAACCTTTTGTGATCTGATTCAATGAAGGTCGCTTAGTAAGTGGTCCTCGTTCCACTGACCCTTTATTTTTCAGCAACACAACAACTTCGGACATGGTTGGCCTCATGGCTGCAGTTGCTTGAGTGCACATCAAGGCTATTTCTATGACTCTTTTCACATCTTCTGCTTCATTTTCATCTGGATCTAAGCTCTCATCTGCTAATTTTAGGTGCATGTTATTCTCGTACAGTCTCCATGCCTGTTCAACCATGCAGCACTTAAATATAATATAATAAGTACTAACCAATAATTGATTTACTCTCTTTTTTATGGCAAAATTATTTTATGCACCAAAAGTTGAATTTATACGCTATCACATATTTATTAAGCAATAGTTATGAAAATTAATAAATTAGTATATTACTAAATATACACATGATAACCTTATATAAACCTAGCTATAGAATGATCCATTGTTTATGTAAAATGGTAGGGATATTTCAACAGCAAGAAAAAGAGAATAATGCAAATGAAGAATACAGGGTTGCCTTACTTACCAATTACCTTTCTGAGGAGAAACTCAGCATCAGGATCGGCATTGGTCTCATGACTCCTTTGACCACTTATAATTGCAAGGACAATAATTCCATGGCTATAGACATCAGCCTTTTCTGATAGTTGTCCATGGATAGCATACTCTGGTGATGCGTATCCCCGATTGCAAAATGATTAGTCTTGTTAGCCAAGAGGAGCAAACAACACTAATAAATATGCCAGTTAGAAAGAAAAGTAACTGAGAAGGAAAAGCATGCTTGTTAGAATTAAAATGAAAGGAAATTAACAAGTTGAGACTGAAATTATAAATTAAGCCATTGATTATATATATGGTGGTGGAATTATTAAAATTAGCTTACAGTGTT